CACAGAAAATGGCTCCCACTCTGCGCCCTGTCCTGCAGCCAGACTCCCACCCAGACCAAGGGGCTGGGATAAAGAAAGGACAGACAGGGTCAGAGCTGGGATGGAGATTGAGACAAGGTCAGAGATGGGGAGAGAGTCAGAGGCAGCCATGGAGGGGAGGAGAGAGCAGAGCAGAAACAGGCAGGAAGTGAAGGCTGGAGGGAGGGCGGGAGGTCAGGGAAGAGGGGCCCTAGTGGGGAGAATGGGGAGCCGGGGGCTTGGAGCCCTTGAGGTACAGCAGGGGCCCCTCTCACCTTTCCCAGAAGCTGCAGGTATTGGGGTCATTGGGCTTGAGGGTTCCAGCCAGCCCCAGGCCCAGGGCCAGGAGGAGGGAGCGCAGAGGCGGCGACATTGCGGAGGCCTGCGACATGATGTGGCCGGTGAGGGGCACTGCAGCCACAGCCTAGACTCTGAGGACTCAGCCTCTGTGGAGACCTGAGCGGGTGGCAGAAGGGAACAGGCTGCTGCCTTTGCCTCCCCTGCCCCCTGCGCCCTGGCCCAGCTCCCAGGTCTCGTTCCTGACTGGGGGGTGTGCCCGTGCTCACACTGCCTCCTCTGCGTAGCCGTCCTCCCTCTGTTCTTCACCTTGAGTTCTCACCTTTTAAGGTCTAGCCCCAAGTGCCACCCTTGCATCTCTGCTCTGCTCCTCGACCCTCACTAGCAGACTGCCCCACCCATCCCTTCTGGAGCCCCCGGCACCCCCCACACACACACACGCACACGCACACGCACACGCACACCACTGTTCCAGTGCCTATTTCCTGATCATGGCCTGGAGGCAGGGACCAGTGCCTTTTCTTTCCGAATCTCCAGCCCCAACCAGGCCCTACCCGGGGCACTTGGATATTTACACCAAGATTCGAAACTAGAGCCAATGGGGGGCAAGTTACAAGGGAAGCTGACTTGGGCTCAGTTGGAGGAAGAACTTTCTAACAGTCAAAGCAGTTCAGGAATGGAATCAGCAACCTTGGTGGTGAGCTCCCATCACTGGATGTATGCAGGCAGAGGCCCAAACCGCCCTGATGTAGTGGCAGGCTTCCTGCGCTATGGGATGGAAGGAGGAAGGCTGGGTCCAGGCGACCTTAAAGGCAGCCTCTCCCAACCTCTGGCGTGTTGGCACCGCTCAGGTGGACCCAGGAGGACCCATGGTGCTCATCTCCCAGCTCCTGATGTCATATAAGTAGCTTGAAGTCAGGCATGGGGGGTTATTTACACCATGGAAATCGGCAAACACACACCAGGCCGGCCGCACACAAACACACACCAAGTCAGTTGTTAAACACTTGCCAGTGCATCACTGCACCCAACTCCAAGAGCTGTCACCCGAGGAGGCCCCCAAACTGGCCCCGGGTTTAACCACCGGAGGGGGCCCCCAACCTGGCCCCGGGTTTAACCACCGGAGGGGACCCCCAACCTGGCCCCGGGTTTAACCACCCAAGGGGGCCCCCAACCTGGCCTCAGGTTTAACCACCCGAGGGGGCCCCCAACCTGGCCTCGGGTTTAACGAAAGTCCCCATCAGCCATCTGGAAATGGACTCCTCTCCATCTCCCCCACCCCTAGCCTCGCCCAGTGGGTGGGAAGCGGGTCAGGACTCAGATGAAGTCTGTTCTGGGAGGCTGAGCTCCTGAGTGGCCGCCCCCGCTGCTGGTTTCAGATTCCATGTTTAATGTTCCTAAAACTTGCCCTGGTTCCTGCTCTACACCTCCCAGAGGCGCCCACATCTGCTTCTGATTTTGGAGCAGAAAGGTCGGCTGCTGGCCCCTCGTACCCCTGAGTATCTCTGGAATGTTTGATGCCTGGCCCCACCCCATGCCCCCCACCCACACACTCCCAGGGGCCCCAGAGCTGCTCCCAGCTCCAGTCAGGGCGGCCCTCCTTCCCTCCGTCTCACCGGAAGGACAGACCCCACACAAGGGTAGCACCTCTCCTCCCGGTGGCCTCCCTCCCACTGACAATCTTTTTAAAAAAAATATATTTGATTGATTTTTTTACAGAGAGGAAGGGAGAGGGATAGAGAGTTAGAAACATTGATGAGAGAGAAACATCGATTAGCTGCCTCCTGCACACCTCCTACTGGGGATGTGCCCGCAACCAAGGTACATGCCCTTGACTGGAATCGAACCTGGGACCTTTCAGTTTGCAGGCCGACGCTCTATCCACTGAGCCAAACCGGTTAGGGCCCACCGACAATCTTTACCCTCGTCCTCTGGTCCCGCAGAGCAGCAGTCCACCCCCCACCCTGGCTACTGTCCCATCACAGCTCCCTGGGGGCACATCTCCCCCTCGGGCTTTTTTTTTTTTTTAATTTTTTT